TGATTGATTGTGTTTCTGCATGGAAAAGAGTTGTTTTTATAGTGAAAAAAGTAGTAGTCATTAGAGGTGGGCTTTGTTCAATAGGGACCGATTCAATATCTACGTAATATTTGTATATTTTTTTCCTATAGTTTTGTTATTTTAATTTCGCTATTAGCTGGCAATTATTGGTTTTGTTAGATTTATAATTAAAAATAAAATAGATGAGGAAATTTCCACTGTGTCAGAAAACTAATCTCCAACCACCCGATTGAAATAAGCCAAAATGAATTCTAATTGATTAGTATAAATTTCTAGTCAGGACATTTTAAAAATAAATGCAACTATTTGATGCTTGTTAAGCTATGTTAATCACTATGACATCTACCACAATCATTTTCGATAATATAATTTATTTTCTACCGACATTCTGTAAATGTTAAAACTATGTATAATCGTATACAGTCAACAGAAAGCTAAAAAATATTTCAAAATACATAATTACACGAAACTTGTTGGTGCACCAAATTTACGGTAAGAGGACCACAAATTTTCCGATCATGAATATTACAATGTGGTGGCAGAACGTTCCTAATTTTTTCAAAGTCATAAAAATGGAAATTGTAAATATATAGTAAATGAATTTGAATGCTTCTGAAAAACTACATCATATATAGAAAGGTAAGTAAAACTTCAACAAGCAAAAAATGTATAGAAATAGGGTGATTATAAGGGAAAGTCAGATGTCCTAAAATGGCTGACATAATAAGAAACCTTCGCAATCAATAGGAAGACAGCTGTTTTTGAAGATGAAACCGAGTTATAAATACCAAGTTTATAATTAATCTAAAATACATTAGACCAAATTAACAACGACTTTGATTTGTGACATCAAAAATATATTACGAGTATTTACTTATTTTAATACACGCGAGGTCGCGTATTTTAATTACAAAATGTGATTTTGATACATTTGCATTGTTTCACAAATTCTCTACATATCGTATACATGTTTGTTTTCTTATTCTCCATAAACCGACGGACGATAAA